AAATTTGCCGATGCGTAAACATCATCGAGACCACTAACTTCACAAGACCATAATTCCGTAAGTTTTCCATCAAATTTCATACTTTTGGTGTCATTATGATTGGGAAAAGATTCTCTATCTTTTCATAAGAAAATATATATATATTTTTTTTTTTTGGAAATTTGGCAACCCTGAGAACAAGTCTCTGAGAGGGCCTGTGGACTCTGAAAGGGTTAATACTGTCTAATTGTATAGGGCTTGGAATGTTAAGAATATAAAATGTGATAGGGAACTTATGTGGAGAATGTTAGCTGTGGCAAGAGCTATTAACCCTTTCAGGGTCCAAGGCCAGAATCTGAAGGGGTGTCCCAGTGTCCAAGAAATTTTGAAAAAAAAAAAAAAAATTATTTTTTCTTACAGAATTAAAGATAATATTTTTGTGAAGGTAATAAAAAAAAAATTCTGATCAGTTCTTACCGAGATACAGTGGTGGGAAGTTGACCCAAAATGACCGGGTGGCGGCAACACCAGTGACTTCCGCAAAATCGCATTTTTTGATTTTACGTTTTTTATACTTTTTTCTTTTCTTTTCTAATTTTTTTTCTTTTTCTAGTAACATTTGTGGCCTGTGAGGCCAATATAATGTATATTGTATAAGTGTACACTCATTGTATTTAACACAATACCTGCACTAATTTGTTTATCATTATATTGCTTAAAAAACTTGTTTACAACTTTCTTGTAAACAAAATAATGAAAATATTAGTTAGGTTATTGTGTTGAATACAATGGTGCCATATAGTACATGGTACAATGGTGCCATAAGGTGCCATTGTACCATATATTACAATTGTACCATATGGTACAATGGTACCATATGGTACAATATGGCACAGTGCCACATGATACAATGGTACAATATGGTACAGTGGCACATGATACAATGGTACCATATGATACAATGGTACCATATGGTAGAATATGGTACAATGGCACCATTTGGTATAATGGTACCATATGATACAATGGTACCATATGGTGCAATGGTACCATATGGTACATTGTACCATACAGTACAATGATACCATATGGTTCATTGTACCGTATGGTACTGTTGTATTCATCACAATAAACACACTTATATTTTCATCATTATTTTGTTTACAATAATTGTTTACAACAGAAATATGCAAAAATGTTGTATATTAGTAATGTTCTATTATACAGTGGTTCCTCGTTTTTCGTAATTAATCCATTCCTGGAGGAGCTACTATAAACAAAATTTACGATTTGCGAATCAATTTTCCCCATAAGAAATAATGTAAATACAATTAATCCGTTCCTGACACCCAGAAGTATTAAAACAAAAAAACTTTTTACATGAAATATACATGTAGTACATAAACAATACAATGGAAAATGATGAATGAAACATTAACAGCATAACACTTACCTTTATTGGAGATTCTTCTTAGTGTATGGGAGACTGGAGGAGGAGAGAGAGTGGATTGTTTATAGTTTGGAAGGGGAATTCCCTTCCAGCAACACCTCAGGTATCAATTGCTTTTCTGGGGTTGCTTCTCTTCTCTGTTTTTTAATGCCACTAGGACCACCTTGAGAGTCACTGGAGTCCTGTCTCGCAAAATAACTGTCCAGAGAGCTCTGTTTCTGGCGTCTCTTTAACACTTCCCTAAAATGGCCCAAGACATTGTCACTGCACATGTTGCCAACATGGCTTGCAACAACCTTGTTAGGGTGATGTTTCTCCATAAATCTTACCATCTTACCCCACATTGCAAAAATCTCCTTAATTTCTGAAGAAGGCACCTTCTTCCATCTCTTTTCCTCCTCCTCTGCAGCAAGATTCTGAGCTGCGATCTGTTGCTGTTCCTGCTGAAGCTCTTGCAGCTCCTCAGTGGTGAGCTCTTCATTGTGGTCTTCCACCAATTCTTCCACATCCTCCAAACTCACATCCAACCCCATGGGACTCCCCAGTGCCACAATTGATTTTACAACAGACATGGGCTCATCAGGGTGAGTCCCAAACCCTTCAAAATCCCTCTTGTCGACACAATCTGGCCACAGTTTTCTCCAGGCAGAGTTCAAAGTCCTGGTAGTCATCCCTCCCAAGCCATACCTATAAGGGTTATGCAATGGAGGATGCTGAAGTGTTCTCTCCCAAAATTCCCTTAGGGGCAAGTGAGTGTCTGTGGTCACAGTCAAGCACCTGTGAAACATTGCTTTTGTTTTAGAGTTTTTTTAAAGTTTGCAATGACCTGCTGGTCCATGGGTGGAGGAGAGGAAGTGATAATTTGGGGGCAAGAACTTTACTGTGATGAACCCAAACTCCTCGAAAATTAGGTCATCCAAGTTTGGAGGATGAGCAGGTGCATTGTCCATTACTAACAGGCACTTAAGATCCAATTTCTTTTCCAGGAGATACTCCTTCACACTAGGGCCAAACACTTCATTGAACCACTCGACGAAAATTTCCCTCGTGACCATGCCTTACTAATAGATTCCAAACACAACACAGTTTACTTTTCATAACATTGTTTTTCCTGAACACTCTGGGATTTTCAGAATGGCACACTAATAATGGCTTCACTTTGAAATCCCCACTAGCATTAGCACAGAACATTAGCGTCAGCCTTTCTTTCATAGGCTTGTGTCCTGGCATTGCCTTTTCCTCTTGTGTAATGAAGGTCCTCTTTGGCATTTTCTTCCAAAAGAGGCCTGTTTTGTCACAATTGAACACTTGTTCAGGTTTCAGTCCTTCAGCCTCTATGTACTCCTGGAATTCATGTACATATTTTTCAGCCGCCTTGTGGTCCGAACTGGCAGCCTCACCATACCTTACCACACTGTGTATGCCAGTACAGTTCTTAAATCTCTCAAACCAGCCTTTGCTGGCCTTAAATTCACTCACATCACCATCAGTTGCAGGCAATTTCTTTACCAAATCGTCATGCAACTGCCTAGCCTTTTCACAAATAATCGAAGTCATAAGAGTATCTCCTGCTAATTGTTTCTCATTTATCTACACCAATAATAACTTCTCAACCTCTTCGAGTACTGGTGATCTCATTTTTGTCAGCATAGTTACCCCCTTTGCAACGACAGCGTCCTTGATTTCCTTTTTCTTGGCCACTATGGAACATAAGGTTGTGTAGGGTTTCTTATACATCTTGGCCAGTTCGGCCACACTTGTACCACTTTCATATTGTTCAATGATGGTTTTCTTAAATTCAATCGTATTTCTCACCTTCTTTACCACAGGCTTGGCACTAGGAGCTTTCTTTGGAGCCATGGTAGCTTATTTAGTACTTGCAAGCACTAAAATAAATGGAATATTATGAAATATTTTGCTGGAGCACGTGAGGGGACCTTCGCTCACTGGTAAACAATGCCAGACTGGCTGCTGCCACGGCTCACGCCATGGGTACGCGTCCCGGACGAACTACGACTCGCGAGTCAACCTATGATAAGCGAGCCCATGTTTATACGAAAATATCCCTATGATTGCCGAAATTTACAATTGCCAAGAACTACGAAAAGCGAGGGACCACTGTATATTTACAAATGTACAGGAACTCAACATGTTCCTTGAGGTGGATGGCTTGTCTTGGAAACTGCGGAGTCAGTAGCTAGCTTGCGTCGCCACTCATTCAGTCTTGGCTTGGTGTCTCCTGCCCCCAACACCTATTGACCATATGGTACACTGTATCATATGTTACAGGGTATCATGTGGTGCATTGTACTATATGGTATAGGGTACCATGCAGTACAGGAAAACATATTGTGCAGGGTACCATATGGCACAGGGTACCATATGGTGCAGGGTACCATATGGCACAGGGTACCATATGGCACAGGGTACCATATGGCACAGTGTACCATATGGCACAGGGTACCATATGGTACAGGGTACCATACAGTACAGGACACCATATGGTACAGATACAAGGATCCCTATGAAAATAAGTCACCCTGACTTTTTTGGGTTATCCTTGGATTTTATACATATATTGCTATGTATAATAATCCATATAATTGTATTTCTGTACACCTGAATAAACTTACTTATGATGCCATATGCGCTTGAGTAAGTTTATTTGGGTATACACAAATAAAGTTACATGGAATATCATACTTAGCAGCATATGTTTGGAGAACCTAGGATAACCCAAAAAAGTCACAGACTTATTTCCATTAGGGTCCGTGTACCCTGTACTATGTGGTACAATGTACCATATGGTACAATGTACCATATGGTACAATGTACCATATGGTACAGTGTACCATATGGTATAATGTACCATATTGTATAATATACCATATGGTATAATGTACCATATGGTATAATGTACCATATGGTACAGTGTACCATATGGGACATTGCACCATATGATACCATTGTATGACAGGGCACCAATGTACCATATGGTACCATTGTACCATATGGTACAATGGTACCATATGGTTCAAAACCATAGAATTCCTCTTCAGCTCCACTTCCATCAGTCTTAGAACTGTAAGTTGTGAAGAGGAGAGTCAGAATTCTCCCGGAGAGTGAGTGGGGAGTGAGAGCCGCCTTGCCGCCAGGCACGATGAACAAAACTACTTTGGCGGCATTCCCACAATGCCATGCGGGTGTCCAAATTTTTTCTATAGTGTGCACACTGACCACCCAGACCCATTCTCTCAGATGTAGGCCTACCAGCCTTCTCGTGCTAAATTTGACGCCGCTAGAATTTTGGTGTAGATCTATGGTTTGGACCCTCAACGTAAAGCCGTAGATCTACGGCACGGACCCTGGAAGGGTTAAGAGCCATTCTGTTAGTCATTTTGTACTGCTAGTGAAGGGCTGAGAGTGTCATAAGCATGATGTTTTCAAAGATTTCTTCAGACCACTAACAAGTGTATTCATCTTTTTAAGTTTTCTAGCTATTTTCATATTTTATGGTGAAAAAATAATATAAACTGCAGTGTTAGTTATATTTGTATTTATCATTTTCTAGGGAAGTTGAGGCCTGGGGTCAGACATTAGCCTCATTGGTCGTACTTTTAGATTACATCGATAATATGCTGTTGCCACGCTGTGAAGATGGCAACCTTCTGTCTGGCATCAGTAGCTCACCAAATGAGCTAATGAAAATGCTTAACTCCGTACCACAGTATTCTTTCTATGGCCGCTGTTTGGGCTTCCATGTGAGTATTAGTTGTAATGTCTTAGATTTTAAGAGTTTTTTTTTAACTTTTATTATGATAAATAATAATGTATGCTTATTTTGCACTGTAATAAAATATAGTGGAACCTCGGCTTACGAGTTTAATCCATTCCGTGACCTTGCTCGTATCCCAGTTTGCTCGTATGTTGAGTCAATTTTCCTCATTTAAATTAACCCTTTGACTGTCGCAACCCCAAATACTGAGGTGTCTCCTGGTGTTGCAAAATATTTAGAAAAAAAAAAATTATGAAACAATAGAGAATCTTTTTCCGATGGTAATGACGCCAAAAGTACGAAATTTGATGGAAAACCTAAGGAATTACGATCTTGCGAAGTTAGCGACCTCGGCGATATTTACGAATTGGCGATTTTGCCCACTTTGAGTCCTATTTTTGGCTAATTCCATTGTTCTAATTGACCAAACTCATAGCTATTTCTTTAGAACTCCATTTGTTCTATCGATTGAGCACAAGAAACTGACCATTTACTGATTTCAACTACCCAGTAAAGCGGTCAGAAATTGGCAATTTGGCCAGTTTCACGCAAATTAAAAAAGTGCCAGTTTCAAAATAGGGTCCGGAATGAATAATGCAGACATTCCTGGCTCTAAAATAAGGTTTTCTTTGTTCATCAGTCACGTCTCCAGGCCCCTCTGATATTACTCTTGCTTTCTATTATGAATTTTTATTCAAACAAAAAATAGGAGATTTACTGTTATGCAGACTACTGCAATGTTGTAATAATTGTATAAATAATGTCAACCCATTCATTACTGCATATTAGAATGGCTACTTGGACATTTATTGGACAATGACCTCATTTGTTTACTCGAACATTGGCAAATTTCAAACATTTCCCCTACTTTGAGCTCCATTTCAAGGTCCTTTTCATAGTAAAACCAATCAATATCACCTCCATTTCTATAATATGTTTTCCATTCTATCAAATGTGACTATGAAAATGAGAATATAATCATAAAACTATACAAAAATACACCTCAAGGTCAGTGTTTTAATCCAAAAACACGGTCGGAGTTTTTTTTTTCTCATTATGCACTGCTTGCTGCAGGATTTTTATTTTATACTACACACACTGACCATACAGACCCAGTCTTTCACATGTGGGCCTACCAGATTTCTCCTGCTTGATTTGAAGCTGCTAGAATTTTTGAGTATATATATGTCAAACACATTGGGTCGTAAGATGTATATATACGACTGAAACAGTCAAAGGGTTAATTGAAATGGCATTAATCTGTTCCAGCAGAATTCCAAGCACAGCAAAATACTTCAATATTTTGCTAATACAGTGGAACCTCTACTTGCGAGCGTGTCCACGTGCGAGTTTTTCCAAATACGAGCAGTTGATGGGTCAATTTTTTGCTTCCATATGTGAGCAAAATTTCCACAAGCGAACAGACCTCAAGGCAGGTTCCTTTGTTGGACTATCTTATTGAAACTTGGGCAATGTATGATGGAAAGATGCTTCTTAACGTACACCAAAAATGAAAGAAATCTAAGCATAAATAATGGAGTTCACTTCTCAGCAGTTAGCCACCCCTTTGCGGTAGTTTCAAATGGTTTTTATGGTTGTATTCTCGTTTTTTTGGTCTCATTTGATAGAATGGAGATATATTATAGAAATAGATATGATTTTAATTGCTTTCACAACGAAAATTACCTTGAAATAGAGATCAACCTAGGAGAAATGGTCCATTGCTTGGCTGTTTCAGAGTAAACAAATGACGCCACTGTCCATTCCAGTATGCAGTCGTGAATGGTTGACATTATTTATACAATTATTGCAGTAAGGAATAACAGTAAATCTTTTATGTTTTGTGTGAATAAAAATTACAAATTATTTATATATTAAATAATAATAATAATATGTATAATAATATGCATAATAATAATAGTATAATAATATAATACAACAATAATCATAATAATATAATATTTTTTTTTTTTTTCAACAAGTCGGCCGTCTCCCACCGAGGCAGAGTGACCCAAAAAAGAAAGAAAATCCCCAAAAAGAAAATACTTTCATCATTCAACACATTCACCACACACATTATCACTGTTTTTGCAGAGGTGCGCAGAATACAACAGTTTAGAAGCATATATGTATAAAGATACACAACATATCCCTCCAAACTGCCAATATCCCAAACCCCTCCTTTAAAAGTGCAGGCGTTGTACTTCCAATTTCCAGGACTCAAGTCTGACTATATGAAAATAACCGGTTTCCCTGAATCCCTTCACTAAATATTACCCTGCTCACACTCCAACAGATCGTCAGGTCCCAAGTATCATTCGTCTCCATTCACTGCTATCTAACACGCTCATGCACGCTTGCTGGAAGTCCAAGCCCCTCGCCCACAAAACCTCCTTTACCCCCTCTTTCCAACCCTTTCGATGACAACCCCTACCCCTCCTTCCTTCCCCTATAGATTTATATGCTTTCCTTGTCATTCTACTTTGATCCATTCTCTCTAAATGACCAAACCACCTCAACAACCCCTCTTCTGCCCTCTGTCTAATGCTTTTATTAACTCCACACCTTCTCCTAATTTTCCCCACTCCTGAATTTTCTCCATAATATTTACACCACACATTGCCCTTAGAACAGGACATCTCCACTGCCTCCAACCGTCTCCTTGCTGCTGCATTTACCACCCAAGCTTCACATCCATATAAGAGTGTTGGTACTACTATACTTTCATACATTCCCTTCTTTGCCTCCATAGATAATGTTTTTTGACTCCACATATACCTCAATGCACCACTCACCTTTTTTCCCTCATCAATTCTATGATTAACCTCATCCTTCATAAATCCATCCGCCGACACGTCAACTCCCACGTATCTGAAAACATTCACTTCTTCCATACTCCTCCTCCCAATTTGATATCCAATTTTCTTTATCTAAATCCTTGATACCCTCATCACCTTACTCCTTTCTATGTTCACTTTCAACTTTCTGCCTTTACACACACTTCTCAAACTCATCCACTAACCTTTGCAATTTTTCTTTAGAATCTCCCATAAGCACAGTATCATCAGCAAAAAGTAACTGTGTCAATTCCCATTTTGAATTTGATTCCCATAATTTAATCCCACCCCTCTCCGAACACCCTAGCATTTACTTCCTTTACAACCCATCTATAAATATATTAAACAACCATGGTGACATTACACATCCCTGTCTAAGACCTACTTTTACTGGGAAGTAATCTCCCTCTCTTCTACACCCCCTAACCTGAGCCTCACTATCCTCATAAATGCTCTTTACAGCATTTAGTAACTTGCCACCTATTCCATATACTTGCAACATCTGCCACATTGCTCCTCTATCCACTCTATCATATGCCTTTTCTAAATCCATAAATGCATAAAAACTTCCCTACCTTTATCTAAATACTGTTCACATATATGCTTCAATGTAAACACTTGATCTACACATCCCCTACCCACTCTGAAACCTCCTTGCTCATCCGCAATCCTACATTCTGTCTTACCTCTAATTCTTTCAATTATAACCTACCGTATACTTTTCCTGGTATACTCAGTAAACTTATTCCCTATAATTTTTAACAATTCTTTTGGTCCCCTTTCCCTTTATATAAAGGGACTATACATGCTCACTGCCAATCCCTAGGTACCTTCCCCTCTTCCATACATTTATTAAACAAAAGTACTAACCACTCCAACACTATATCCCCCCCTGCTTTTAACATTTCTGTCATGATCCCATCAGTTCCAGCTGCTTTACCCCCTTTCATTCTACGTAATGCCTCATGTACCTCCACCACACTTACATTCTGCTCTTCTTCACTCCTAAAAGATGGTATACCTCCCTGGCCAGTTGCATGAAATTAACCGCCTCCCTTTCTTACTCAACATTTAAAAGCTCCTCAAAATATTCTCGCCATCTGCCTAATACCTCCATCTCCCCATCTACTAACTCCCCTACTCTGTTTTTAAACTGACAAATCCATACTTTCCCTAGCTTTCTTAACTTGTTTAACTCACTCCAAAAATTTTTCTTATTTTCATTAAAATTTCTTGACAGTGCCTCTCCCACTCTTTCATCTGCTCTCCTTTTGCACTCTCTCACCACTCTCTTCAGCTTTCTTTTACTCTCCATATACTCTGCTCTTCTTATAACACTTCTGCTTTGTAAAAAACCTCTCGTAAGCTACCTTTTTCTCTTTTATCACACCCTTTACTTCATTCCACCAATCACTCCTCTTTCCTCCTGCCCCCACCCTCCTATAACCACAAACTTCTGCCCCACATTCTAATACTGCATTTTTAAAACTATTCCAACCCTCTTCAACCCCCCTACTACTCATCTTTGCACTAGCCCACCTTTCTGCCAATAGTTTCTTATATCTCGCCCGAACTTCCTCCTCCCTTAGTTTATACACTTTCACCTCCCTCTTACTTGTTGTTGCCACCTTCCTCTTCCCATCTACCTCTTACTCTAACTGTAGCTACAACTAAATCATGATCCGATATATCAGTTGCCCCTCTATAAACATGTACATCCTGGAGCCTACCCATCAACCTTTTATCCACCAATACATAATCTAACAAACTACTTTCATTACGTGCTACATCATACCTTGTATATTTATTTATCCTCTTTTTCATAAAATATGTATTACTTATTACCAAATTTCTTTCTACACATAGCTCAATTAAAAAAGGCTCCCCATTTACATTTACCCCTGGCACCCCAAATTTACCTACTACTCCCTCCATAACATTTTTACCCACTTTAGAATTGAAATCCCCAACCACCATTACTCTCACACTTGATTCAAAACTCCCCACGCATTCACTCAACATTTCCCAGAATCTCTCTCTCTCTCCTCTACACTTCTCTCTTCTCCAGGTGCATACACGCTTACTATAACCCACTTTTCACATCCAATCTTTATTTTACTCCACATAATCCTTGAATTTATACATTTGT